ATTGCAATAATAACTTCACCAAAACTTTCTCAAGTCCTCAATTTATTAAATATTATTTTTCTGTGAAAACACTACAAGGAGTGCTAATAAGAAAGGAAAGAAAAGTTAATGTCTTGATGTCTAAAATGGAGAGTTAAATCCATTGTATCTATCATAAAAAGTGATTTCCTAATTCTTTGAATTTTAGTCATATTTAAAAAAAAAAAATAGTGAAAACTATTGATACCCTTGGTAAGTAGACATAGGGTAGGGAAGACAAACACACAGAGTTTCATGAAGACAAAATTTCATAGTTGAATTCACAAGAAACAAAGTTTTAGTGAAGAAGTGACATCCTAAATTCACAAAATATAACTTCAATTATTAAATCCACAAAGATTTTATAGTGTCTTTGAATCCACAAGAATCAAAATAGCATCCTTGAATCCACAAGTACACAACTCTTTCTAAGTGAACAAAAAATCATAATACTAAAAAATATCTCCAAGACTACATGGTGGAGCCAGTACATAGACTAAGTTTTTATTAGAATGCCCCTAAAAAGGTGGATCAGTTTCGATGGCACTTTAAAAGAGATTTAAAGTGTGTTAAAATAATTTTTAAATAACCTAAAAGCTAGAAAATAAACTTCTAATACATCTCTCTTGTGCCTTATTATGGACCTAATGTAATTTTGGGCCTTTTGAGTTTTCTTCATGCTTCCCAAGGGCCTAACCCATGAGCTTTTGGTCACTAGGTCAAAAAGAAATTGCCCTTTGCTTTTCTAGAATAATGTCTTACATCAGAAGTCATGATCACTATAAATCTTAGTGTTATATATTTTTAGTAGTTAATAAGTCTACTTAATTTATTGACCAAGTTAGTTCAACCTATTTGGTGTCAACATAGTGTGCCAACCCGAGCAAATCTATGTTTAGCCAAATTAAATAGTATTAACCTAATACATGCATAATCAAGAGAATCACTCTAAAACATGTAAAAATGTACAACCAGCCTTGGACCAATATAATGCACCATGCTAGCTCCACTCTCTAAGGATCATGTCCTAAGGATACATTAGCTCTTGCTCAGTCAACTAAACATATAAGGCTTTAGCTAGCCTTATATTAGATTTATAACTCTAGTAAATTAAAGTGCTTCCTCAAAACACTTCTTCTAAATTCATAATTCTAGTATTATGAAGTACTCAAATAATACACTATTGCATGGGGGTTTTATGTATATGACATCCTTTTAAAATCAAAATACTATCCTTATTTGCATCTAAAGAGACATGATATGTCTTTCCTCTCCCTCAACTATCGATCTCTAGTTTGGGCTCATCATATGTAAAAATTAAAATAATAAAACACTCTTAAAAAGTTTGGCCCATACCTTACCATGGCATGAATTTATGGGTCTAGAATGTGAAAGCATCTCTTAGACAGACTGACGTGACTTAGTCATTGTATATTAAATTATGCAAATCTAAAATTTATAGAACTAGAAAATATGAATTTTCAGATATTTAGAAGTATTTATAAATAAATATATTAATTTATAATTTAATAAAAATTTTAAAAATAGCAATAATTTTCCAAGTCAATCATAGGGATGTAATATAATATTTGATAATTATTCAGAATTTGTCTCAAAGAATATGATTTTTTATAAATTTTATACTAGGAAATGAAAAGAAAATATATTTAAAATTTACGAAAAAGTGAAATAAGGGTGCAGATGTCAAGATGACGTTAGTGCTCGACAAATGTGAGTTAGAGGAAAATAGAGTTCTGTTCAACAATTCTTACATAAGTAATTATAGATTATTTAATTAATCAAATTAAGATATGTAAAAGACGAAAGAATCGTAATTGAATGAAGTATATTTTGGTAAATTAAAATCACACAAATTATCACTAAATGAAGCATAAAGTAAGTTGAAAGTAAGAAAACAGAGTTCTGGCGTCGCGATGGCGATGTATCAATAATGCACCAGAATCTTGAGTGTTTAGGAAGATCGTCGTGCAGTGTCCACGGCCTCGAAGGCTCTTTTTGGACAAAAATGATGTGAGCAATCTCTAGATCTCCTTACAAAGTCTAGATATTAATGTAGTGGGTTGTTGAATCGTCTCCGACGGCTGTCACCCAGCGAAGTAGAAAAATAGTGACTTTGCAGCTCTTCGGCGGTTGTCACTTGACAAAGAGGAGCTAAATCGAGGTGAGGCGTGTGTCAGAGAGCTTCATCCTCAAGTCTACACAAGAAGAGAAGGCTTTTCATCGCATCTGGTATGCTCTCAAGAGGTGACGACTCGTCTCCTAGTAGATCGTCCTCTTTCCCACGACGACTTATTCGTCGATCAATCGGAGATGTTTTACTCGATGGATTTGCGATCTTGTTATCGCAAATCGTTCAGCAATTTTAGTAACAATGCTCTGCGAATCGTGTTGACGAGATTTTCGTTGATTATCCAGCAACTCTGGTTGCTTAATTTTGCACCGACGATCTGCAGGAAAGTCGCGATAATCAGATAAAAAAATATAAGTTTTGGCTCTGGGAGGATTCAAACCCGCACCAATTGTCTGCCCTTTCTGAGGAAGGCCAGTTTAATCCCACATCAATTGTGCGTTGATTTTTTGAACGAATATATACTAATGTTACATTTCTTAGCAAGTCCTTTCACTCGCGTGTACAACCACTCTTTACCCCTATCAGTCCAAGCTGCTCAAGCACATGCTCATGGCTACTCTCGATTGAGCTTTCGACTCACTTGCAGGCCTGGTTGGCTGGTGAGTCCCCCTCATTTTGTCTTTTTTTTATTATTTTTTTTCTTTATTTATCTCAAAAGTAAGACTGTAAAAATCATATAAATTTATATAAAATCACATAATTATCCACAAATTCACATTAATTAACTAAAAACTACTTTTCACACTTTTACATAAATATAAGTCTATTTATCATGAGTTAAGGCTAAAACTATATTATTTACTAATTATTAACTCATGATAATAAAGACTTATCACGAACCACTTGAATACTTGAGAAAGAATGTACAAATGAGTAGTTATAATGTCAAATCCTTTTATGAGATATTGGGGAGGTTGATCCTTTCATTAACATATTTTTCTTCAATTTTTGAATTCTTAAGTGTCATAAATAGTAAGGAACCTCACTCCAATGATTAATTATGTGCTCCAAATAGCTAGTTACAAATACTATAGTAGATTGTCTTATTCTTTTTTGTTATCTACCATCACACCCCCAATACATTATTTGACACAAGTCAACTTATGAGTCAGCTACAATGAAGTACCAAAAAACAAACTTGTAGATAGAAAGACCTAAAATTTAATGACTTTCAATAGTTAAATTCACGCATTGGAAATGTAAAAGGACCATGTAGATGTTTAAAAATTTTAATGTAAAACTACCCTTTTATCCTTAACTATACTTCCCTTAAAGTTGAGTCTTATTCTTACTAGATGAGTCAGCTCATTTATTTAAGTGATAACTTATCATAATTGATTTAAGTGTTATCATATTAAATGTGTCTACTCACTCTATAATACTAGGGTATTTCACATATCAAGAAAATTGACTTACTTCCTAGGCCATAAATGATGAGTGGAAACCTTCTTCATATATGATGAGTCAACTCACTATTTCACATGTAGTCATTTCATATATAAATGAGTCTGACTTATTTTTTACAATTAAGTAAAAAGAAAAATTTGTGGGCCTAAATGAGTAAAAGATTATGGTATGATGTCTTCTGTGAGTGTCAAACTCTATCTAATTGAATCAACTCCATGAAGAGAATAAAGATACACAATGGGTCATGCAAGTAGTTCAGAAATCATGCAATATTTTTCTAAGAGTTATAAAAGAAACTATCAATACTTTAATAAAATCTAAATATAATTTTAGTATAATAAAATTATTATTTTACTCTTCTACATATTTTATCACTATAACAATTATAAAGACACCAAATGTCAAGTCAATCATGAGCCCACCTAACATTGTGATGAGAAAATTTATTAATAAACTTGTCATCTCACTGATGGACAATATCTACCAAAGAAGAATGTTGCAAATAGTTAACTTAGGATTTCTAGTATCTTGTGAGATTAAGAACCTCAAGAAGTCAATTCAGCAGCCCAAGTAGAGTCCCCTTTAGAAACCAATCTTGCAACGCTTTCTTAGCTTGAAGCCACTTAGGAGAGAGCTCTTCTTGTCAGTTTAGAACCATTTTGGAATGCCATTAGAACAGCATGTATGGGACCCTCGTCTAATTCTAATTAACATCAAATGTTATGTTTCTCTAGATTTTGATTCGCAAAAGATAAATATGGCATGGTCTGTTGTCTTTGTCTCATCAAAAAGTTAGATATTGTTGGGTTTGTCAAACAAACCAATGTTGGAATTGAATAAATCATTTTTGGTGAGCCAAAAGATCTAGTTTATCAAATGATTGAATTAGGAAAAAATTATCAAAAAACACCAAGTTAGCATTCATAAAAATTATCTAAATGAGTTCATTGGATCTTGTTTATTTGGAAGCCATGAGTTGGTCATTACATCAAATTGACAAGTCACCGCTCCCCAAGTTTTGGGAACGGATAGAGCTTGTGAGACAGAGCTCCATCCATCGACTGTGACGTAGGGAGTAAGTTTGGTACGTCTCGACATAAAAGGGTTGAGAGGAGCGATGGAAAGAGAGAGAGAGAGAGAGAGAGCGAAAGAGAGAGAGAGAGAGAGAAAGAGGGAAGAGAGAGAGAGAGATTAATTGTCAACGGAGTGATCCTGATATTGAACCTCAATCTTTTGGTCTTTTTTGTATTTCCAAACCTAATTTAAAGACTCACAGCTGGTTACATCTCCCACCGCCAATTTTGACGCCTCTTTTCTCCTGCGGTCAACGACCATTGGACGGCCGAGATGAAGGGCGGTGACACATCTCCGGTGGAGGGCTACCCACGTGAAGCTATTTACGAAAACGGGTCTGCATTGTTTACTATATTACATCAACAGCCATTCCAAAAGTGCCGCGGAAAATCGATCTCTGCCGTCCAGTCACCCGTCCCCAGTTCATCGTAGCCGTCGCCAGAGCGGGTGGCCGTGGTTGGTCATCCTGAATAAGAGAGGAAGGCATCATTAAAGCGAACACGTGACGCTCGCCGCTGCCTGACCGGGTCGATGTTAATTTCCCTGCGGCCACGTGCGGTGGGTTTTTCCGACAATTTCCCACTGAGGGACTTTAATGCAAATAAACCAGTGGACCACGATAAGCGGGCCCGCCAGAGCACGCCGCGCCACTCGTCCCGAGGATCTTATCTCCGCCCTCCCTCCCGCGACTCCCCATCCGTTGGATCTCATCCTCTATGCTCCTTTTTACGATCGAGGGTCACAACTGTCTTATATTCCAGTTCAACCCCAGAAAAATAAATATTTTCACAGTTCTACTCTTCTGGCCCTTGAGCGAAATAAAAACAAAATTGAGATGAATCAGAACATGTGAACTTTTTGTGGGAGGGAACGATAATCACCAAAGGTAAACGGAAACAAGAAAAATCGCTTTTGAGAAAAGTGCGCGTTAGAATCATTATTATCGCAAAACTGCTGATAAATAAATATTACCTCTTAAATTAGGCCTAAAATAAAATCCTTCTTAAAAAATTAATTTATTTTTTTGAGAAAGGCCCCAATCTGAGGCTTTAAATCATAATTATTCCGAATAAAAATCATAATTCTGCAAAAAAAATGGAAATTTTCATAAAACCCCTTATTAAGACACGTAGTTAGCGGGGTGGTCCCCGAGGGGGTCCTTTTATTCTGCAGTGTATTATTATTAATATTAATATTTTAATGGGGGGCCAGTGCCTCATTCCGATGTGGTGGTATATTTATTCTCCCCCTTCCCCACCGCTTCCGCCCTTCGCCATCTCCGGCAGTCACATGCACCGCCGCCCACCGCCCGCCGGGTGGTCCGTTGGTCTCCGTCGCCGCCAGAGCCGTCGTCTCAGAGAAGGGCACACCCTCAGAGCGCCATCTCCCGCCGGGGGGTGAATACCTAGATCCGCTCTGCGTTTTTCGCAGATCCGGCGAGATTTTGCGCTGGTTATCCGGCGGGGCTCCGGCGAGGTTGTAGGTTCGTCGACGTTCCTAATTTCTGGGGATCTTCGCCGGCGTTGCAGGCGTAGAGAGAGAGAGAGAGAGCGAGAGAGCGAGATAGAGAGGATCGAGTATGAACCAGTGGAGTGCGCTCGCGGCCTGCGAGGAGGTGATGGGGCCCTTCGTCCCCGCCATGGGCGTGGACCGCCGGGAGGCTGTGTTCTGCCCTAGGCCGCGCCGCCTCAGCCAGCGCGCCGGCGGCGACCACGTCCGGCCCGTCCCCATCCGCTGGCAGCTCGGGTCAGCCCCGCCGTCGCATCTTCATCTTCATCATCATCATCATCCGCAGTTTAATGGAGATCTATATCTGGTTTCCATTCTTGATTCCGTTCCTTGTCTCTGAAATTGCAGGCCTTCGCAGGCGGATCCCTGCGATTCGAAGCCCGGGGGGGACGTCCTGGATATCATTCTCGCCAAGGTCTCCAATTTTTTTCCGTTTTCGTCGATGTTCTCCGATCTGGCCTCCATTTCTTGCCGGCGTGTCTCTTTGATCTGACTAATTTTCTTCCTTTTTCTTCTTCTTCTTCTTCTTCTCTCTTGCAGGATGCCTCGTCGCCGCCGTATTTCTGCGGATCGCCGCCTATGAGGTCGAGTAATCCGCTAGTCCTGGACGCCCGCTTCGGGGAGGAGAAGCCGCCGCCGCCGCCGCCGCTGCTGCCGCCGGTGGTGGCGGCGGCGCCGCCGTCCTCCGGCGGGGCGGCGCGGCAGGGCGGCTGCGTCCGCAACAGTTTTGGGCCCAACCCCGCCGCCGTCCGCGTCGAGGGGTTCGACTGCCTCGCCGTCGACCACCGCCGCCGCAGCAGCCGCGGCATCACCGCCGTCGCCTGATTAACAGCTTCCTGTGCTCGCTTATTAAATTAGCGCACCGGGGAGGATTTTAGAGACCAGAAAAACCACTGAGGCAAGGAACGAACGAACGAACGGGAAGCAAAAGAGAGAGAAGAGCCATAGAGAAGAGCCAGAGAGGGCTCTCCTGTGATTACTGTACATCCCTCACCACCTCCCCCCCCCACCACTCCCTTTTCCATCCTTTTTTCGAGATCTTCTGGTAGGTTTCGTCTTTCTTGAAAATGCTGCAGAGGACGACCTATAAAATGTAAATGGAGCAAGCAATTTGATTTAACCTCCCTCCTCCTTACTCTTTCCCAGAGGAATAGAGAGAGAGAGAAACCTGGGGAGCGCAGCTTTTCCCCCCCTCCGGCGGAGGCGGCGGGGCCCCCAGGGACCGCCGGCGGCAGGCAGGGCCACATAAAAACGTCGCCTTTATCGCGTATATTCCCCCTACGGCGTCCCCCACCATGGGAGGAGGTCTCGTCTCCCATTAGAAAAAATTTGAAAACCCTGAGAGATGGGCCTCGCTCTGCTCTCAAAACTCTCCGGGCAGTCCACAAAAGTCGGAATCTTTAGTCCCTTTCTCTGCGACCCGCCTCCTGTTTTCTCTGAAGAAAGTTACCCCACAAACAGATTATGAACGACTATTGACTACAGATCTTTGCATGAAGGATCAATTGAAGGTGGGAACTGGCGGCCTCTTCCGGTCAACGGCTTCTCCGATGGAGAAAGAAAAGCTCCTCGGCTTCCAGCTTGCACCACGTGGGCGGCGTCCCACGCGCACTCGGCGCCGCCGCCACCGTCGCCGGCGGCGGGCCCCGAGCTGCACAGTAAGCTTGCAGCAAGAGTGCAGGGGTAGCTTGAGCGGCGATCCCCGCCGTGGAAAGCGAGGGTTGGGCCCTGCCGCCAGACCTCCATATCTCTCTACGCAGAAGATGAAGATTCTTTTTGACACGCTATAGTGAGAGAAAATTGAGACAAGAGGTCGATGAAACGTCTGGCCGCGTCGGTAATGGTCGATAATCATCAAAGTTTTGATGATTTTATGAACCAGGCAGCGTCAATGTGCTTCAACAAATTACCAGATTTTCTTACGATAAGAAGATTTATTATCCAGGATAAACTTCACATTTTGTATGGTTCCCGCTGCATTTAAATGAATACTTGTTAAAAGAATCTGATAAAATAGAAGATGACTCGTCAGTAAGTTTATTCGAAAATAATTCAGAAAATGCGAAACATTTGATTATGACCGTTCACCAAAAATGAAAAATAATAATTCAATATATAATACCCATTAAATTAAACAATAAGGGCAATCCAAGTTATGATAATATGACTTATATTATTTCATACTAATGAGAAAAAATGGACAACTAAGTAACTTGAAGATTTTATGCATAAGAAAATGAATGAATGAATGAATGAATGAACACGTACAAGTTATTGTCAATATTTGAGCTCTTGCTGAACCCAGCCGAGTTGGCTCACTAGCGTCGCTTGCCCAGTGGACTGAGTCGGCCCAACCGATTTCATTTAGACCCAGATCGTGGGATCTACCCAATTGTCCTTTCCCGACAAGATCTTCCGACGGGTCTCGCCCGATGTGATTCTGTGTCAGAAAACGTCATGCCGTTGCTGTGATCTCTTTATGCGATGCCGCGTGAAGGTAAGCACACCGCTGGTACTTGCGAAATAATTTTTTAGCCTTTATGTAGATATTACATGTTCGGATAAATCAAGCCTTTAAAAATATTACTGATCGACATCATGCTAAAAATATTTTATTATTTTTAATATTATTCTGTGATGAGATGAACCCTTAAAATGCCCTTCAACGCTGAATTACTCGAAGTAGATGGTAGAATAACATTTTTTATTCAATTAATAAGCAATTACGTACTTTAAATGAGTAAATAATGAAATTCTCCCATGTGAACTTGGAAATTTGGATAAGGCTATTTACAACGCCCATCTTTCTCATAAAGTCAACGCCTTGATTAATTGTAAGGTGCACTACTGAGGTTGATAGCATCATTTTTCAACGCACGGTTGAAAAATGTATGAGATGATACGCATTTAATCCAATTACTCAGTAAACCAAGTTTAGTAATGACGTTTGTAATTCGGTTTGAAACTTCGACCTCACCTGAATGTGGCAAGTCTGACCAGGCCGTTAAGGAAAAAGTTCGTCTTTTTCGCCCACCGAAAGGACCCTGGAGTCAACTCACTCACCCCAACCATCCCGCGATCCTGGCAGGCCCTCCCCCTCACCTTATCACCCCCTTCATCATCGGTACAGTGACTTTATGATCTTTGAGGTTGAGGTTGACTTCTCTGTCGCTTCTTCATTAATATGCCTTACCGGTAAGCCTGCATGACCCATGTGGCTTCCTCCTTACCGCTCTATGTCCCCACCCGCTTCTCTCTCTCTCTCTCTCTCTCGCTCTCGGAAGAACCGGCGTGACTTCTTGTGAGCGTGCCCACCTCAGCTGAGTTTGCAGGCATCGGATCCCTGAGAAGTTTCACCAAAGGAAAGGAGTGGGGACGGGCTGGGTCCAGTTCGATCCGATCCGATCCTCGTGGTGGTGGAGTGGGAATCAGTCCTCCGGCAATACGCCCGGGAGGGGACGCTCGAACAGTTCCGAACAGTTCCCATCAGTTGGTCTACATCTTCCTCGTCAGACTTCACATGCTCTGGAGAGTTTCTGATCAAAGTCAACCCCTCCTAAGAACAAAACCCTTCCATATTCGGATAATTATCATAAAATTTAAACCCTCATTGTTAACTAAGATTACCCGCGTGCTGAAACATTTTTATGATGATATCAGCACTCAGAGATCGAGGAAGATAGAGATTGAGAGATTGAGAGAGAGAGAGAGAGATGATACTCTCGCCGAGTGGAGTTGGATGGGGGAGGTGCGGGGGAGTCAAGCTGGAGTCTTCCGGCGGCGGACAGAGAAAAGCCGTCGCCCTCGCTATCTCTCATTACGGCGCCCATAAAGTGCACGGTGGCCCTTCCGCCGCCACCGCCGGCCTCCGGAAGGCATTCATTGCCCAGAACCGAATCTCCCCGTTCGCTGTATCTGCCCACAAGCCCAGATTACCACTCTCTCTCTCTCTCTCTCTCTTCAGAGTAGGGAAGAGGCTCTCTCTCTCTTCATGGTGTAGGGAAGGAAGAGGTTGGTAGCACACGCGGGTGGCGCCGCCGCGGGGCGCGGCATTGACTCCAAATTAGAACGCACGGGGGAGCCGTGGAGGAACCGTTGCGGAGGTCCGAGGCGCCGCCAATTGAGAAGCTCCGAGGCGGCGGCGGCGGAACGGGGGAGCACCGGAGAGCGCCCTCGGAGAGCGCTGGCACGTGATACTGGGGAAATGCCATTAAAAGCCGCATTAATACCGAATTGTCGAAAATCCATCCCAAGAAATATATTTGTGTCTATATACTCTCAACTGATACGGACTATACCTCTTATTCACCACAAAAATAACATTTTCCTACGAATTATAAGAGCCTCTCGGCTTTGCCTCAATAATAGCTATAAAGTAAATATATATAATTTAATATAATTGGAAATTTAACTGAAAAATGAAAAATATATAATAGTTATGTGATGGCAAAAATGTATCCACAATTAGCATGGCCCATCTAGAAGGCCTGGTCAATACCACAATTAGCTTGGTTAGGTAAGAAAGCGGCCCATAATTTATTATTTATCTTATCATTTATTATTTATTTGATAAATTAATTTTAAAATATTAGTCAACACGGACGTCCTCATGCAGACTTAAATGGGGCCCAAATATCGTGAACTCTGTGAGCTCATGGGCTTGGAGAGTTAATCGGTGTGGGACCAACTAATGCCAAGTACTGGATGGGGTGGGGGGGAGTGGAAAGGTCAACGGGAGGGGAGGATCTTGAGAGGGAAGGTGGGCCCCATATGAGAGGTGGGCCCGTAAGACCCCCATGGCCTGCCTTCTTCGGCCCATTTTATTTTCTATTTTTAGTAAATAATAACAGTATTTTTGACGGTCATCGGATATGGGTATTTATTTATTTCTAGGTGTAATTTAGTCGTGTATGACGGGCATTTTATTGATATAATAAATAAATAAATAAATAAATAAATGGGTAGCCGTGATATTCTTTAAAAATAATTCATGATTAAAAAACAGTATATCGTATCAGGCCGGGCTCCATGAACAGTACAGATTTTAGAGGGCAGCCACTAATAATTTATCTTGGAAGGATGTAATGTCAATAAGTAAATTATTAGGGACGCCAAACAAGTATTCCTCTCCTTAATTCATGGGCGCAATATAATATTAATAACGAATTCCATGTAACAAGCTTTTTTCTTTTACGGTATTTATGAGTCTCTCTCCCCCGGTGCCCTTTCTTCTTCCTCCTGCTTTTGACTGAGGAGCAACTCCGCCCACACCACCCCCCACCCCAACGCGCCGCCACCACCATCTCTCGCCTGCTGCAGCTCCGGCGGCGCCGCCAGCTCCGCAGGTGAGCACCAGACGGCCCTCTCTCCCCTCCCTCCCTTCCCCACTTCTTTCTCGTCGTCGTCTTCTTCTTCTTCTACCATCTTCATCGTCTGGTAAATCGGGGTAAGGAAATAGATAGATCGATAGATCGATGGATAGATAGGGAGAGAGAGAGAGAGAGAGAGGCGCTGTCATGGGGAGATCTGGATGGGGATTCAGAGATCTAGGTCGCTGTTGGATCTCCTGGATATTTCTCTATCTGTTTCTCGTGTTCTGGTTTCTTCCGCGTTTCCTTCTCCGCGCTCGCTCGGTGCTGTATATTATTTTAGATCTCCATCACATACCGTCGCCGGCGAAATTACAGCCATTTATTTGTCATCTCTCTCTCTCTCTCTCTCTCACACTAGAAGAGGGTTTTCGGGGGGTTTATATGCCCTTTTTCTCTCTCCAGCAGCTTGCTCTTGGGGAGGAGAGTGGAACAGGGCGGGACCTGCGGCGGCGGCGGAGCTGGTGAGGGAGGGAGCAGGAAGCCATCAGAGGGAAGGATTTATGTCTTCTGGTTCCTTAGATCTAATCTTCCACTGCTTCCCAACCGGCTTGAAGAAGAAACCGCCGCCGCCGTCTTCTCCGTTCTCCGCCGCCGTCTCTTCCTCGCCGCCGCCTCCCTCCTACACGCGAAGGAGGGAGAGGGCTTCGATGTGCTCGCCGTCCCCGAGGTTCTTCTTCTCCTTCATACACATGCGGAGGAGCTCCTTCCTGTTCCTGTTTTTGTTCCTGAGAGAGATTCTGACCTAAAAGCTCGAGCAAGGGTCTCTCTCTCTCTCTCCCTCTCCCTCTCCCTCTCCCTCTCCCTCTCCCTCTCTCTCTCTCTTTCTCTCTCTATCTTGAGTTTCAGTCTCCGGCGGGGAGGATGCCGGGTCTCCGGCAAGCGTTGTTGATTCAAGGGAAGCCCATCTTCAAGAGGGCTCCCCCCGCCGTCTTCTCCGGCGAGGAGAAACAGCCCTCCGGCGGCCGCCGCCGTCTTCTCCGGCGAGAAACACCACCTCTCCTAGTCGGCGCCCGGAAGATCCGCGTCCTCTGCTGCGACCCCGACGCTACTGACGACTCCTCCGGGGACGAAGACGACGACGAAATGGCGGCGCCACCCCTCTCCGCCGCTGGCAGCAGAAAGAAGCTCCTGATCAGCGAGATCCACATGTTCCCTTCCCGGAGCAGAAAGAAGCTCCCCAAGGCTGAAGCTCCCTCGCCGCCTTCCACCGGCGGCGGCGCCGCTGCGGTGCCCAGATACAGAGGCGTTCGTCAGCGCCGGTGGGGGAAGTGGGCGGCGGAGATAAGGGACCCCATCAAGGGAGCTCGCGTCTGGTTGGGTACCTACGACACCGCCGAGCAGGCTGCCATGGCCTATCAGAGAGCTGCCGATCGCATCAACGCTGAGAGGAGCCTCTCCTCTTCTTCCTCTTCTTCCGCCGTCGCCACCGGCGGCGCCGCCGTTGACTCCGGCGACTCCGACGCGCCGCCGCCGCCGCCTTCCGTCTCTGAGCTCGTCGTTCCCATGTTGGCGGCGGAGGAGCTGCTCGGGTCTCCGCTGGGTCTGGAGCTGGACCTCGTCGACCCGTTCCTCTTGGGCGAGTTCGGGTCGGGTCAAGAGGACGACTTCGTCGTCGGCCTGGGACACGTGGACGACCTGGATTTCGACGCCTTCGACCCCGCCTCTCTCGACTGGGTAGACGTCTGATCTTGATCGTACGGCGCCGCCCATCAAGAAATTTTGGCAGTAATTCTTAAATATGTATTAATTACCCTATAATTATTACTAGTTATAGTTATGCCCCGGAGAGGGGGATCTCTTGGGTTTTTGAGGCCCTCTGAAAAAGCCGCCCTGGGGACCCTTCCTCTCCGTCCGTGGAGTATTTTGTTGTGGAGTGAGTGTCATATGGGGTATGTATTGTTCTGTGAGGTTTTTTGTACAATTTTGCGTAGGAGACAGTCATCTGAGAGCATATTAAATTTTGTGCTTCGCCCACCATCGCATTTAAATCGTTGCTGATGCGCCCTGATTTTCCAAGATATCTTGGCAAAGTCCATTTCCTTCCCGGGTTCAAAAGAGGCGGCGGTCTAATGGGCCCCACCATGGGACAGCTGGCGGCAGCTTGCGGACAGCCGCTAAAGACTGTTTTTCATGGAACCGAAGTCATCATATGGGGCCCACAGTCTGGTCCGAGGTTAATCTCTCATTTAATTGATCTCAGAGGGAGAGAGAGAGAGAGAGAGAGAGAGAGATAGGGCGACGTTGACTTCTAGGTCGGGGATTGACTATATTTGGATTACACCCTGCTCGGAATAGTAAATTTATATTTATCAACTAAACTAGATGGATATTTTTCTCCAGAAAATGACGGCGGATGGCGTCCAAACTAAAACCCCATGTGAGAATTCAACATCGAGTAGAGAGAGATAAGGGAGTGGATTTGGCATCCTTTTGACCATCCCTTTTAAGGGGGGAATCTTTGACCACCCCTTTCCAACGAGTCAAACCCGCGACGGCCCATAGCCACGTGTGAGGGTACTTGGGGAGGGGGGCATGGCACGTGTGTGTCTTAGGGGCTTGAAAGCAAATTTAATAATGTTAGGTGTGCGGGGCAAGTGTGGGGGTAACTAGGGAGACTGAACAGGAAACAAGGTGGATGTCGTTTTTGTGGGCCCCGAGGAATTGATGAACATAATGCCACGAGAGAGAAGTAACGGAGAAATAACGTCCACGTCATCCCGGCGGCGATCCACGGCAGAGTTGATCTTATCGGGGTCGCCGTCAGCTGACGTCCGTCGGGGCGCTTTACGTCGCAATCCAAATCGCCCGCTTCGCCCGACCAGCGGATTCCGGGGGACCGCTGCCAGACGGCCTGCCGTGATAGGTGACGTCATCCTTACAGGAATTCGTTCACCTGGACCGAGTCGACTCGGACGAGCGGCCGATTCACGTTGGCTTTGGCACGTGGCTTGCGCAGGCTCACTCATCATGTACGGCCGACCTGTGGTGTGTCACGTGAGAGTGAGACTTAAAAGTGTGTGAGAGAGATAAAGAGAGAGGGGGAAAGCCTCAATGTATGTCTACTACAATTTTTCTCTTTGGAGAGGGTTTGGGGGTTCAACCCATAACAATTGGGCCGAGCTTCTATGGTCCAATAAGGGATGGCCCAATTGGGATGACCCTTTGGGTTATTTCCTCTCTCTCTCTCTCTCTCTCTCTCTCTCTTCCTTCTCACGCATGGGCTCTCTCCCGATCTCTCTCTTCTCAGGCGTAGACTCTCTCTTTCTCTCTCTTCTCAGCCATATACTGTCCCCCATTTGGCATATACTGTCTCTCGTACACACACACAAACCTGTGTATGTGGGGACAGACCACCTAATTTCATGGGGCCCTATCCCCAAGGGGTCATAACCATTATGTTTTTGAGAGAGGGCACTAGAAAGCAGAATGAAGCCCACAATTATATTGATCTCAAAACCTCTGAAAAAATCAATGTGGGACTAAAACATGGTCAGAATGTGTGATAAAATAATACCAAAAATACCCCCATATTTAGAGAAGGCAATGTAGTCTCATGCTCACTATTTTAAGATTATTTTGACATTTAGTCAATGTAGGTGACCAATGGAGGTTTGAAGCTCACCAAAGCCAAAAACTATATTTTTATTCTATTTTATCTATGCAATTTTTCTATAGAGTGCTTGTCAACAATCAAGCCACTAGAAGCACTCGATCATCAATGGAATTTTTATCAACAGTAATCTTGTATCATGGTTAGCAACCAAGGAATGATTATAGATAAAATCTCACAAATTCATAAGAGAAATTCATCAGACAAATGTACCATCATTAATAATAGGGTGATCCACCTAGAGACTAGTTACAACCACTTCAGAGTGTTTCAAATGTAATATGAGCCTCATCTTGTTGCACAAATATAAGGAAGAAGCTCCTTAAGATGTACCTCACCTCCATCTAACTCAGCTCCATCGAGTGACATATGTTGGAGATGCTTTGTCACCAAACTTCTATTTCACCAAGTGACAGTTGTCAGAAACAATTGGTTGAAGTTGTAGATATTACTTAAAATTTTTTCTAAACACAGAATTTTAAAGATTTCTATCACAATGCCAATTACTTTTTAAATTAATAAATTAATAATACATTACTTAAATTTAAGTTTCAAAAATCTTCTTTAGTCTATTATGATTTATTTGACATTTACAAACTTTAATTTTATCAATTAAATTATTTATAATTTTTAGTATAATAATCATTAGGTGGAACTCTACTTTTGCTTGAATTATGGTTCTTTAGGCACTAATGTCAGCACCTCAAAATTTTCCTTTCTTTAATTTTAAAAAATATTTTAGTACAAAAATCATAACAAATCATATTCTTTGAGAATAATTCTATTTTTTTTTCTTGATATTATGTTATATCCCTAAGATTAACTTCAAAAATTACCGCTACTTTTAAAATGTTTTATCAAATTAAAATTAAAATTTTCTTATAGAAAAATACTATTTTATGATTTTATAAAATTTAAATTTACATGATTTATTACATAATAATGAAGTCACTAGCACATATCCAATGTTTTTTTCTACCTCCCTATTATGTTGTAGTGCATTAATACAATGTATGGTTCAAAAGATCCTTAGCATTATTAGAGCAAAAAGTGTTTAATAGTAGTACTAAAATTGACTCTTTACCATAAAAAAAAAACTTTGAATCACATTTGAAAGATTAGACTATTGTTTAAGAATATATATCCTCATAGTTCGAGTTCAATTAGTGACAAATATTATGAATCAACAAGCACCAATTACTACAGTAGTTGGGCAGGGATCCCATACATCACTATGAATGTAATCAAATAGAGTCTGATTACAAGTAAATGATAGGTGAAAAGAAGATAGCTTATACTTAGGAAGTTGACATGCATCACAAATCATTGTACGATAGTTCAACCCTTTGAAATGTGAAGGAAACATAATTTACAATAATTCAAATGAAGAATGTTCCAATTGATAATGTAGGAGTATGATTTGAGGCATCTTTATAGAACTCTCCTAGACTTCTTTTACTATCAGCCCGACAGATAGTAGTGATGCCCTCTTTTCTTCCAGGTAGAGTAGTCCATCCTTTTCCTCAATAGTCTAATGTTCCAGCCTAATACCTTATCAAAAATAAAACACCTATTATAGTCAAGCACGATTTGGTGATAAATATTATGAATTAACTTCGGTGGAGATATCAATTGAGCCTTAAGATTAGGCACATGTAGAGTCCCTTTAAAAATTCTCAAGTTAGATATTTAAAGGTCTCCCATTCTAACAACATTCAGGGATCCACCTCCTACAATAGAAATTTTTTCGAGAGCAAGGGCATGCTACATATATAATAAATTTGTACCAATTTGGAGTCACATGATCTATTGCTCCCATGTCAAGAATCCATATCCTATTGTGGGACTGATCATTAGTGTATAACCCAAATTAGAAAAAACCAGCACCTAATCTTGTTAAATGAGTAGAGTTGAGTGTGACCTTCAACTTATCTAGCTCTTTGCAAATCCTTATAAGCTCATCACCAGTATTTGGATTTATCAGTTGATTTGGCTCACTAAAGGATTGAGCACTATCTTTTGAGTTTTGATTTATTGTCACATATGCTTGCCTTGGCCTTGGAGTTCTGCCATGTAATTTCCCAACAATACTCCTTATTATGACCCTTTTGTTTACAATAGTTGCAAAATAATGATTCCCTTGAAGCAATTTTTTTCGGAATGATGCTGATAACTCTAAAGATTGTCCTATTGTTCACCACTATTATGCTCCATCGGGGTAGTATTTGGAGCATTCTTGTGCTTAGATATAAAGGTTGTATTGGTTTCCTCGGACTCATTCAAAATGAGACTTTTACAACTTTCCTCGGCTATAATTTGAATTGTCTCATCCAAGTTTGATCCTTTTGTATATACGCTTGTTCTTCAGAGTTTGATTTCTTGGTCGATCTGTAGTAGTAAATCTCTCACCAAATAGCTTATAACACACATGCATCTATTTGAGGAAAGATCTCTCCCCTTGGACGAGATCCATTGCCTTCTTCACAAGGTTGTAAATCTTTAAATAATTGCCTTTTGGAACAACTCTTATGTATACAGTCCCATAAGTCCTTGACTGACCGCATAAATAGAAAATGTTCATAGAATTCTGGTTTGATGGTGGTCGAGTGACCATGTGTGAACAACAGCTTCCTTTGATTTTCAAATCCAATATCGTGACTCAAAGGATTCAACTGGAGGTTCTTGTGAGGTGATCTTGTAATTCACAACCTATAAGTATCATTTCAACAAATTAGCTCCACTAGTTAAGGTTCTTCTCGTTGAACCATATTTTTTCTAGTATACTTGGGATATACTTGGGATAATCTAGTAGAGCCTACTGAAACCGGCATACTTGCGTGTGTTTGAGGATTCTCCCATGGAGGAGATGCTAAGTCACTGTCGTAAGGTAGCAGTAATCTGTTGTAAGAAGAAGGAACAAAAGGCAAAAGCTGCAAGAAAAAAAAAAGAGATGGCCACAGCTGTAAGAGGCACCAGACAGCAGCAATCCACGACTTCACGCGTGGAAAAAAAAAAAAAGGTACCTTACAAATGCAAATTAGAATATGCTAAAGCTGCTAAGTTTGCTTCCACCGAT